GGGGGGGGGGAGTTTACTACGGGCCTCTATCCTAACTGACGCGTATCTCAGTGTATTGGTCCTCTAGTTCTGTGTACGTGATTTTTATTTTCAGGTGTATAAGACGCACGCTTTTCGCTCTAAAGGTGAACAATAAGCCAAAAGACTGCCTGTCACCATAGGGTACGTTAACTCATAGCAATGTGCGAGAAAGCGACCGCTTTACGAGACACGTGCGCAGCGGCACGCCTGGGTCTGTTCGCGTTTAGAGCAAAAAGGGTGCAGCTTATACACCTGGAAATAGGATAATATGTACAGGGTAGCCCAAAAGTATGGGCGCCATATTTTTGTTTGCGAAATTTTTCATACAGTACGAAGTTTTATGAAATTGAGTTCGCATGCTCAAAACGGGGACATCTTAGTGTGCTACTCATACAAGACTGGACTCTTGCACGTTCATACAGCCTTTAGCAGTTTATTATGAGCTAATGCGTCAAAAGATGCTTTCTGAAGGTCGTACTCAGAATAACCCGTTGCAGCAAGCCGGTCACGAAGAGAAAAGTGGTAAGACCAGGGGCTTTATGAAGTACAGTTTGAGGAATAAGATGCGCTTTAAAATTGGTAATTTCTCTTCTTTGTGATAGAATACGATACATACATGGTGCTTACGGACTGCGTCGCAGTGGCTATCAGGCAGACCCCGAACTCTCGTTTACATAAGAAGGCTTCAGACATTTTAGCCTAAAAATATTTCTAGAAAAAATATAACACATATTGTAACGCCCATAATTATGGGCCACCCTGTATATAACGCATAAATGTCGACCTTGTTAACGAAAACTGATTGAAAATTTTCACATTTTTTTGTGGTGTAAGAAAAACCTCAAGTGACAACCACGTCCATATTTGCAGGATAGGAGTTTTTTGCTGCCTCTGCTTCATCATTTCCGAACGCTGTCTCTTTCCACAAATTGGATCACCATATGCGGCCAAACATGCACCGCTTTTTGCTAATCTTCGTCCGCTTTTGCTAGCGCTAATGACATCGCAATCGGTGGTACATCAGCCAAGTACATTTTGTGCGATACGAGGATGTGAGATAGATGAAGCATTCAAGGTGACTGTAAGTATCAATATTTCTTCATGGTACAATCATCAATTTACAGTTGATCCTGTACGGATTCTCCTACGCAGTGTTGTTTCCTCTCATGCTCGTCATGAGTACAACGTTTCGCTCACATTTCTTCCACATAGTCACGAATTACGTTCATGGGTAAGTGATCTTGAGAATACGGAAACTGTAAAGTAAGGGCATTATGGTTTCGCATGTATGGGACTAGACTAGTAGTGTGGCTCTTCAACTAAGAAAAACTTGGCGGATCATCGTAGACATCCGATCATCTTTATAAACATTTTAATCTCTTAAAATTTTTCATAATCTCGAATTTTTACTCATAGTTCGCCAAAAAGACACTCTACTTTACCAAAGTTTACCGAAATCTCATCGCCATAATCTGGTTCAGAGTGGACGTCGCATTCAGGGGGGCCGACTCAGCCCGACGAGATTCTCTGATATATAGAAGTGCTCCTTAGTCATGGTAGAGGGACAGATTTATAGATTTCGCCTAAGTAAGTTACTCACCGTGCAATAAATATCGTCGAGACATTCGTAACTTGGTGTGTGAGCCTGTACACGAAAAGTTTCGGAGCCATCCTTGACATTAACTTATCAATCAAATCTTTTCTAGCGTAACAAAGTATAAAATTGTATACTACTAAAATTGATATCCTTTCAAACCAAAAGAGGCAATAAAACAAGGTGAAATCGCTGAAATGAGCAGGTTTCAATCCTATACGTCAAGCGCGTATGGTGTTCATTACGCATATTAAGTTACAAATCACTCAAGAATAACCATATTGGACAAGCCGCACAAATGAGAAAGACTCATGAAGTCTCATCTCCTAGCGTGCACTTGCCTTATCCAAATGTACACTTCTTTTCACAAGATGCGTCCCGCTAAGTAAGTCGAACACTGCTGCTCGAATTCCGTTCACTCTGGACCAGGGCTCGGCATCAGCTGAAACCAAAAAGATTTTCAATGAAGCTCTCTTTAAATTCAAAAATCTACGAAGTTTCTTTTGACCTTTTCCGGCCCATGTCCCTCAATTACCACAAGGAACATAAAGAGAGAAAGGAATTGGAAGAAAAACATATCAATATCGAATTTGGGCTGCTCATTGTCGCGCTTTGCAATCGGAGCAGATTGCGCAGCCAATGAAAATTCTCGATGGCTACAAAAAGCCCAGAAAATTTGCCTTTTTTGCTTGTATGAAAACTTCACGGTGAAGATACAGTTTATGTAAAAAAAATATGAAAGCTTATGTGAGCAAAGGTCGCTTCCATCTCAGCTGGAACCCAGCTAGAACGTTCCGTGCGGGAAAGTTCAGCATGGCTTTTATTTGCATAAGTTTTCATAAACTTGGAGTCAGAACCCGACCCTCACGCGCGTGCACATATCGATGTTGGTATCATACCATTGCCTTTTCCTTTATAGCAAAGCTTTTCTCTGTTTGAGTAAAAGCATATCGCTTACACGCCGGCGGCATGCGTCAGCATGCTCGTGGCTCCTCTCCGTCACGGGCCCCGCAAAACGATCTCCTCTTTGCCTTCCAACCAGGAAGATAATTAGCTTGAACGGGGTTCCAGCTGAGTCGGACTCTGCTCTGGGCCAGCGTATGGCAATGAGACGCGATTTCGGTGAACTTCTCAGATTTTGATCACTTTTTTGACCATTTAAGAGCGTTATTGTAGTACCGGTGAGACTTCACCCTCCTCTTTTACTCTTTGGCTTGGGAATTTTAGTCACGCAAAAGTTCGATTTGCATATTTCAGGCGCCCAAAGGCGCGCAAAGATTCGGCACTACGTAAGGTTACTAAGCATATCACACGAGTTGTTGTCTACAGCAAGCTGGAAATGGAAAACTCTGAACTCGACAACAGAACCTACACGAATGCACGTCCGTAAGTGGTTGATTGGGGGTGATAATTGCATGCCATAGTTTCGCCCAAGCAAAGAATCAGTATAAGTTTCTTTTGCACTGCGTCATTGTCAGGTTGGACCCAAAACTCAGCCGTTTTATTTCTAATGTAGGCTTTGTGGTCTCAAAGAATTTATCTATGATTTTACTGAAAAGAACAAACCATCAACGACATCTTACCGATTATCAAGCACTGCAAAATTATACGGATTTTAAATTACGTTGTTGGTAATTTGAGACGTTGCAGAAAGCATGCCCGAGTATGTCACATTATGATTTACGACTTACTCTTTTCGAAGGAAAAAGGTTTATGCTAGAATGTCTAGTGAAGAATGTGAATGTGTAAAATTCATCCATTCAGTCTTTTTCAGAAGCCCTAACTTATGAATACAGATTAGCATTAGGACATTTCAGCTGAAGATAAAGGTCATTTGACAACCTCATTCAAGATGAAAGCAGGAGTAGTCTTCTTCTTCTTCTTTCATTTATGTCTCTACAATAAGTGCCTGGTAAAGCCGCCATTTGTACTAACAAAGTTACTCTCCATCCGCTGAAATAGCAAAGCTGCTTACTTTCAAATAAAACAACAGCCATGAAAGCAAAGTCTATTTATCAACAAAACTCTTCTACTGTAATCAGTACAAAACTGAAACAACTATTTCAGCCAAAGCTTGCGAGCAATGCTGAAAGAGGACGCAATTTATCGTATTCGCTTTGCCATGCCTCAAAGTGTTGGTGTCATCCAAGAGGAGGATGAAAACAGCGAGACTCGACAAGAGGAGGAAGCGACAGTTGCGAGGGCATTCCTGGAAAGTGCCCAATTTCTTGAAAGACCAGTATTTGTAGACGAAGACTCAAACAGTGGCTTTAGTGAACACATGTTATAACGAATGTAAATTACTTTGCTCACTCTCACGCCTACCATAGTGAATCTTTGCTTACTATCGGATGGTCATCGTAAAATTTTCATATTAGCTCGTGCTATGTGATTGACAATCAGAATGACCTAGATGCAAGCTATCGCTTTCTTTTATCGTATAAAGTCCGCAAGCTTGCGAGCATTTGGCTCCATGTGATAACTGGAAGTTTTGTTATCAAAAAAGAGTTTCCGTAAGAGGTCGTTTGAAGCAACTGCAAAGCATTTTCCAGGAAAAAGCTTCCCTCAATCTTCATTCACATAAATTTTCAATGAAACTTCTCAGTTAACTCCTGCAGGCCTATCTTCATATACCTGCCAAGTTTCACACCATATCGTCAATTGTGCACTGCAAATGAGCCATTTGAGTCACACCTTCATTCACCAGTTTTGCAAAATTTTTGGCAAAATGTTT